ACACACACACACACACACACACACACGCACACATATGTATATATGTATATAGCATATCTCTTCTGGAAATAGGCTACAGCTCTAAGCTTCCTTTGCATGGGGCTCAGACTGGTTTTAAATGCCTGGGTTGAAATCTTCCTTTTGCCTCAGCCCCCAAGTAGCTGGGACTACAGATTTATGCCACCATACTTGGCTTCAGCCCCTTATTCCCGAAACTCCTGAGAGGTTCTCATTACCTACAGGGACCTGACTTAACTTCTCACTAATACCTGACATCAGCAACTCCTCTCAACTTCCCCTTTGTCACATGCAAACCTTTATAACTGCAGATACCTCTATGGGATCTCTCTAAAACTGTCCTTAAATAGTCAAAATCAAACATATCTCTGGTGACCTATACAGACTCATGACCCTGTGCTCATATCCCATACACACTACTCTCTTTAAAGGAGGATAATTCATTTCTGTCCTCTGGCTTCCAGGAGAAGAAAGCTCCCCTCTTCAAGAGAGCCCCTTGCATACAACTTAGTCCTCCTATTGGGGCCAGCTGCTCAGCGAGAGGACCAGAGGCGAACAGCAGTGCTTAGGCCAGGGGAGCACAGTGGACTCAGATGGGGGAAGAGGTACCAATGTCTCGGCCCTCAGCCCACACAACGCAGGACAGATTCTGATTCTTACTGGATGTCCCCTTACCCAGTGAGACAATGCTCTCATAGTTCTCCAGCATCACCATCTGGTACAGTGCCCTCTGCACAGGAACCAGATGCCTCCACTCTTCATCAGTGAAGATCACAGCCACGTCCTCGAATGTCACTGATTCCTGAAAACACAACCACACTCTCCCTTACTCCCAACACTTCCCTTTACTTAAATGGGCCTGACATGTCATTAAGACCACAGCCCTGAAGGAGGTGAAGGAGGCAGGATGGGAATGATTCTGACAAGGTAGGGCTTTAAAACACTTGGAGAAAGCAGCCCCACCCACCAAAGCATTAAATTCTTGGCTACAATCCCATCTCCCAAGCACTAAGTATGGGTCATAATCCCACACCAGTGTACTTGGCACTGATATTTAGAAGCTCTTTTCTCAGACTTTCAAGAAACTCGCCAGAACAGAAAACATTCCCAAATACCCTTCACTCAGCTTCCCTAAATATTAAAATTTTCCTCAACTGCTTAATCTTTCTATCCCTCCCTGTGTTATACACTCTATATTTTCCTGAGCTTCTTGAGTATCTGTGAATATCATATTCCTGTACTCCTAATTTTTGGCATATATTTTATAAAAACAAGGAATAAATATACTCTTGTATAAAGAGTATAATTATAAAAGCCAAAAAGAGTATAAATTCACTATAATCTAATCTATGACCTTATGTAAAATTTCTAAATCTTTCTGATAGTGATGCTGATTAGATTATCTCTGAGGTCCCTCTTGCTTCGCCTGAAGGTCTGCAATGATTCTGTAAGCCTGCATCCTAACCCCCACATGAGTCCCAGGAAGTTTTGGGCTAGTGCAGGGAACTGAAGACTCTGTCCTGTAATGGAGTAAGTTGCACATCTATAGCCTGTAGGACTATCTCTGGGACCCTTTTGGCCTCACTGAGTCATGCTAAGCATCTATCCCACTCCCTGGCCTAACCCCAACACACTGGGGTCTACTCTCAGTCCATTCATGGATGCACTAAAGTCAGGACCAGAACCAGCCCACTGTTCCCCAAACTTGCCAATAAGACCTGTACAATGGCTGTTAGGCAAAAACACTCAGAGCACAGGGGGCAGGGACTGTGTACCTGGTGATGGACTAGTGGGCACATGCTCAAGGCAAGAGAAGGTCACGGAGGACACATCAGTCAAATGGGAAGTACTCCCAGGGGAGCCCTTCAACTGCCCAGGATATTCTCTGGCATAAAGACAACTGGGACCTCATAGAGACTAACAGAGTATTTCAGAAACACTAAAGTCCACCTCACCTGGCATCTGGCAGGTAGAGACGCAACAGCCATTCCCTGCTGGGTGCTCGCTGGGTAGGAAAGGGCAGAGTCCTAAGGAGGCAGAAGTGTGAGGTGAGAAGGAAATTATGAAAAAAAAAAAAACAGTCTTGTAGTTTGACCCATGAAGCAAGGACTCTCCATATGTCATTGAGCTATTACTTGTCCCATTTCCAATACCCTACAAAAGGGCATGTAAAGTAAAGCAAGGCCAACAGCAACCCCAGCTCACCCTATAGCTGGAGCCCCAGGCCATAGATATTGCAAGTTAGACTCTCATGATCCTCAGGACAAAGTTCTGTTCCCAGGAGTCAGAACATATTAAGGTTCATATAATATTTATACATTCACATTCAAATTGTCTTGAATGTTTACTGAACAACAACAACAAAAAAACCATAAGAAAATCTGTGAATGACTGTATGGATAAGACAGTTCAAATAAAACTCGAGGTTTCTTCAAAAGGAAAATACCTCACTCGCAGTCATTGTTAATGAAGCAGCCTTATTTTTTACCACACGACCCTATGTCTCATTTCTGGAGCCACACTGACCAGGTCATGGGTGGGCAATGCATACATAGACTGAGATGTGATCTGGTGTTTTTCCTTAGGACATGAGCTAAGAATGTCCATATAACATGTGGGTGACGAGCTGAAAGGGCATTATGAGACCCTGAAGTAGCCATGAGGATCAGGACAACCAACGTTACCAGAAAGCAGGGCCCATGGCTATGAGACGTTCAAGATAGAGACAAGCAGTTAACAGAGAGTTAGACATGAAGCAGAGACCTAAGAGAGTTCTTGGCCCTGATCCCTCTCCTCACCTAGAATCACCAGGATTTCCTGGCCTCTATGTGAATCCTCATTGCTAAGGCCCTTTGCTTCAGTTAGCTGGGGACTATCACTGTTCCACAATATAGAGTCTAACTGAATGACAAAGGCAAAACCAGCACTTGTGGGACTCCTGGGCAGTTGGGATAGTGAGGTCCTGGGAGGGAAGGAGGAAATGTGTGTGTGTGTGTGTGTGTGTGTGTGTGTGTGTGTGTGTCTCACTGGACACTGTCCTGCAGTCAAGGAAATATGTACTCTGTTCCTTGTGGTTCATTCGTCCATCTATTCAACCAGCATTGCTCAGCGCCAACTATTTATAAAAATGCAGGATGTTGTCCTTGTCCTCCAGAAGCAATAGCCTCACACTTACACATGTAAACAAGGCCAGGTAAGAGCTGTAAAGAGAGACATGGGGGAACTGTGAGGACAACTCAGGGGCTCCCCAACCCAGACAAGAAGTGAGGGGAGAATGCTGTACCTTGCTGGGCAGAAATATGATCTAAGGTAATTTTGATTTGAGGGAGGAGATGGAACATCTAAGCAGGAAAAACCTTGAGTTTTTAAAAAATAAAGAGGCAAGTTTTTTTTTTGTTTTTTGGTACCTGGAATTGAACTCAGGACTTTGTGCTTGCCAGGTAGGTATGGCGCCACTGAGGCAAATCCCTGTCCCCCAAGGAGGCAAGTTCTTAGTGAAAAGGATTAACAACCAAAATCAGGTCAAAAGTCTAGGCTGTGAGCAGTGCTGAGGAAAGATGAGGCTGGAGCAGCAGGCAGAGGCCAGCCACACGCAGGAGAACTCTGCACAGCGCCTTCCCCCAGGTACACAGTGTGGCATCATCAGATCTGGGCTTGAGGGAGATCACTGTGACTTGCAGCAGAGGCCTTGAAACATGCACATCTTCTCTCCTGGGAATTCATCCTCAGATATATGAAAGAATATATGCAAAGCTTTTAAATAATCACCAACACTAACTCTTATTTATTTTTTCCAGTACCAGGGAATGAACTCAGGACTTTGCGCTTTTGAGGCAGGCACAGCACCACTGAGCTAAATCCCTGGCCCATCGCTAACCCTTATTAAAGGGTACATGCTAGGCAACTTCCTAAGCACAGCACCTGTATCATCTCCTTTAATCTCTGTTCTAATACAGCAAAATGTGAAATATTCTAAACATCTAAAGCAGGAGATTTGGTTAAATAATTTATGGTCCAACTCATTCATACAACAGAATACTATTAGACTTCATGCTAATACAGTAACAACTAGCACTTACTGAGCATTTGCTCTTTCTTTACCAGGCACTGTGCTAAGCACTTTCATAAGATTAATTCCATCCTCATAAATAAAAAAAGTAGGTACTATTTTACAGAAACTAGGAAATTTAGGCTTTGTTAGCGGATGAGGTAGAATTTGAGCCCAGGTTTGCCTGGCAGCTTTTTATTATTTATTACATTATTTATTATTTATTACATTTTATTTTCAGGGAAACATAGTCACAAGGACAGAAGACAAACAGATTAAAATAGAAAATCCTCAGACACAACCAAGCATTTAGGGAAGGCTGATATATGACTGAGGTGGCATTACAACTCACTAGGGAAAAGATCACCAGTGATCAACTGCAGGCAGTTTCAATGTTTATCGATGGGATAACACAAAAACTATGACATTATACAAACACATCCATGAATATTACAGACCTCGACTGTGGCAAGAATTCAGCAGAAACTGTACTTCATATTTTGTGTTTTGATCTTTTCCAGGCTGGCCACAGGATGTGTGACACTGTGACATTAGGCACCGGCTCCCTGTTGCAGCCCCAGTCAGCCATGCGATCACGAGGGGTGACAAGTGACACTCTGCAGGGTACCGCACTGCTAAGCTGTCATGGTCAGCAGCTTCGGTGTGTTAAATGCATTTTTGACTTAGAATTTTTAAAATTTATGATGAATTTATCAGGACATAATCCTATCCTAAGTCTGAGTATCAGTACAGACTAATTAAGATGAACTAGAGCCTCATGTTAACAACAGAGATAAATTACCAAAACAACATCATTCCTGAACAAACAGTTATAGAATGCCTTACAGCATGACATGTATATAAAAATTAAAGAATGAGTAAATAGTATCTGCAGATTAT